CCGAGGAATACCATACCGGCGAGCGAGTGCATGGCGAATGTCGGGGTGTCATCCGGCTCGTTCTCCCACGCGTCGTCGATGGCATTGAGCAAGGGTTTGGTCAGTTCATCGCGGCACAGGCTTACGCAGGGTATGGCGTTGGATTTGTGGAAGCCGAGCGGGACCAGCTTATCGTACGATTCCTGCACAAACAGGGATTCGGGTATGTGCATGGGGAAGTGAGTGCGCAGGCTTATCAGGTGTTGTGGGTGGCACGCACAGGCCGATGCAGGTGTCTCGGGGTCGGCAGAGTTCGGGGCGGGCACATCAGGGATGTTGTCAGGCGGGTCAGTGTTCAGGTTGTCGGTCTTGGGCTTTTTGGGATGAATCATGTGGCGGATGGAGTTGAGGGTGCGACTGCTACGTTTTTCTTTGAGAGTTCCGGGTGGGGTGGACTGTTTCTGGGAAGCCTTCATAAGGTGAATGAATCAAAGCGAAAGGGAAGGCTGGCTTGGGATGGTGTCTGGGCTTGGGATGGTGTCTGGCTGGAGAAAGCAAGAGTGGCGGAGAAGGGGCCTCTTTATAGGAAGAAAGTAGAGTCACGCCACTCCTAATTAATGAATTAAATGAGCACTTTCCGTCTCTGGACACTGTCATTCGTGGCTTTGGCCAGACAGTGGCTTGTGCTCTTGTGCGCCGTTCCATTGTTCCATATTTCTGCTTGGAACTCCAAACTAAACTCCGAAACCCATTGCGTCGAAATTGGCCCGGGCGGTCGACCATTGCGATTACGGTCTTGGAATACATAAATATTATGGCTTGATATAGAGCCTCCGCTGTGGCTATGGTTCTCTCTCCATCGGGATTGATGAACCTATGCCGGCAAGCACGTTTGAGGGCCAAACTGCCGAGGCTCGAGCTTGGGTCTCTCGCATATCAGCAAAGGGGAAAACGAGATGAAAGAAACGGATACCTGAGAAAGAAGAAGAAAAGGTAAGATGAACATTAAACCATCAGGTTTTATAGTAATTAGTTAATTGCTTGATCAAACTCTCGAAAATAATGGTGTCGGTAGCAGGGCTCGCAACTAGACAATGCAATTTATGAGCGAAAAGGAAGATCGATTGGGCCACGCAGCGCAGAGACCTTTTTTTTTTTTTGTCACAGTTTGCCAATGCTATACAGGATGAGAAGGGTAGGAACGAAGGAACGATGACGGGATCAAGGCGATTTCAGTTGCAGCGACTATCGATTTCGGGAGAGAGAGTGGCCAATGAGACGCACCCCAAATGGATTTTGGCCCTTTTATCGCTTGAAATCTTCGTGTCTTCAAGCAGTCACCGCCTTCAATGAACGCCTTTCTCGCGATAGAGAACCCCCCCCCCCCAACCACCACCACTCCTTTCTCTCCTCCTCTTCATTCACTACCCACCCCCTCCCTCCACACATTTCTCACAGGATGCTTCGAAACACTGCTGCGCGGTTAGTCGCCGCTAATGTCAGGACCGCCCCGAGGACCTTTACCCCAGCTGTATCCTTTTGAATGATTTCGTGGTCGGTCAATGTGATAAGGGAACAAAAGTGAATTAGGAAGGGTTTGAAGTGAGGATTGTCTTGGCTGGATATCGTGTTGGATCTACTTTCGCAGTTCTCGCTCCTGCCTCTGAAACTCAGTCCGATAAAAACACGCGTATTTATACCATTAAAACTATCCCATGTCACTTTTTCAATACCCCCCCCAACACCTACATAAACTTCCTTGACTCCCACGACGCGCTTTCCCTTATCCATCGCCTTCTCGCTCCTTATAGTTTGTCCGTCCCCTCTCAACCACCGCCCCACGTCTCTTCGCCACTCCGACTGAATCTTCCGAGACATTTAAGGTCACCCTACCCGACACCTCCTTTGAAGGCTTCAAGTGCGACCCCCCGAGTCTCGATATTGAAATTTCCAAGGGGGAGCTCTTGAACATGTACACCCGCATGGTTTCCATGAGGAGGATGGAAATGGCGGCCGATGGGCTTTACAAGGCCAAACAGATCAGGGGTTTCTGTCATCTATGCACTGGCCAGGTATGTAATGGTTCGTATCCGGGAGAGAGATTAGGAGGGTGGGGCACAAGCATGAAAATTGAAAATGTGATCCAGAATGGAACAGATGTTAAGGTTAGCGGTGAATTGGTGAATTGGTTGATTGAGTACACAACAGTTTGCGTTAGTCGCGCTTGGAGATCACGCAGATCACGTAAACAATTGCTTCTCCGAAACATTCTTTTTCTATACTTTCACATTTTTACATAGTTCACTCCCCCTTTATCCCAACACACACACACACACAAAACCCTACGGCTCCGAGATTGTTGGAATGAGTCGTTATGACTCTTGACAAGCAACTCGGCTATTTCCTTCGGCTACGGCCATGGAAAAGAGGGAATATTACATGCATATACCCCATAATAATCGCGACACGCGAGATAACTTCTACTCACGAGTCGTTTCATGATATGGTGACATTTCTATCCCCTTAACCCTTACACCTTCACCATCACCCAAGGACACGCATTCGCATTTCATCTTTTAAACCTAGCCATCCTACTCGCACGGCAATTACCTTGTCTCTTCTAATCACAAACCTTTTCTAAAAAAAAAAAAACAAACAAACAAACGTTAACAGGAAGCCGTCTCTGTTGGCATGGAATTTGCCATCACCCCTGAAGACCACATCATCACCGCCTACCGCTGCCACGGTTTCACTTACATGCGCGGTGGCAACATCAAGAGCATCGTCGCCGAGCTGCTCGGCCGCAAGGATGGCATTTCCAAAGGCAAGGGCGGGTCCATGCACATGTTTGCAAACAACTTTTACGGCGGGAATGGTATCGTCGGAGCGCAGGTACATATTGGAAGCGGACTACTTTTGTTGCGGGAAATATGTATTTACCGGTAACAGTTAGAGTACATTGTATGTACGGCTCTTGTGTTGTTTCCATCTGCTCATTATATACACCTTTCTCCCTCGTCATCAGGTCCCTGTCGGCGCTGGCATTGCATTCGCCCAAAAGTATCTTGGTAACAATAACATCACATTTGCTCTTTACGGTGACGGCGCTGCCAATCAGGGTCAGGTCTTTGAGGCTTACAATATGGCTAAGCTCTGGGATCTGCCTGTCGCCTTCGTCTGCGAAAATAACCGTTACGGCATGGGCACCTCTGCTGCCAGGTCCTCCGCTAGCACCAAGTACTTTACCAGGGGTGATTACATTCCAGGTATTAAGGTAGTTATATGTTTAAATTATTTGTTTTGCACGTTTATAGGTTTGAGAATAATTGGCTGGTATGCGATCGGTATGGTGTGCTGGTTGAATACACACACGGTGGACCTATTCTTATTCGTCTGGTTCGACTCGAAACGACGCACTTTAGGTTAATGGCATGGACGTCCTCGCAGTGCGCCAGGCCTGCGCTTTTGCCAAGGAATGGACCAGCTCCGGTAAGGGACCCCTTGTCATGGAGATGGACACGTACCGCTATGGTGGTCACTCCATGTCTGATCCGGGTACCACCTACCGTACCCGCGAGGAGATCCAGCACATGCGCTCCACAAGCGACGCCATCACAGGGTTGAAGCAGAGACTTCTCGATCTCGGTGCAGCTACTGAGGCGGAAATCAAGGTATCTTTATTCTTTCCTTTTTTTTTTTTTTTTTTTTTTCAGTGATACGGGAGGAAGCTGAGAGAAGATTGGTAATATAGAACGTTACATAGTGGCAAGGAATTTTTTTTTATCAACACATTACTATTTTGTGCAATTTTGAGATGTAGATTTTTATCTACAATGCGGGCCCTATCTAATATTTCCCCGCACCTCCTAAATTTACTCTCCTTCCAGACTATCGACAAGGACGCCCGTCAGGTTGTGGATGATGCAGTCGAGGAGGCCAAGGCGTCCCCGCCTCCCGACGATTCCACGCTCTACACTGACATCTACCATAAGGGCACCGAGCCCAAGTTCCTGCGCGGTCGTGAACCCGATGAGATCCATTATTTCTAGGCACTTGTTGTAGAGAGGAAGAGGGTGATGATGGGTTTGGTGAAGTGTTTGTAGTTGGGAAGGTCGGTGTTTGTCGGCAATGAGTTTGAAAAGTTAGGTTAGGGCGGTCACTTATTACGGATGGTGAAGTTTTTTTATGTGCCCTTGGTTGCTTGTCCTTGAGTTATGTCTAATAATACGTAAAACGATTAGCCAATGATTGACCACAGCAATTGCACGCGACATGATATAGCTCATTGATTCTTGTTTGTCACGCCAAGTGCAAGACTTGTCTGGGCGAGTTGTGGCTGCCGTCGTGGTTTGCAGAGGTTGAGAACCTCTAGAGGGAGCAAAGGTAATAACCGTTAGCTGGATAGCCCATTTACACAGAGAGCGAGGTAGGGAAGGAATTAATAAACCCCAGAGAATCTCCAGAGAATCTGCTATTTCGTCGCCTTTTGATTCATTCACAAAAGCAGGCTCCGTACCATTTATCTTTTTTTTTTTTTTTTTTTTTTTTTGTCCCTTGAACAAACCAGATGCGCCGAGACGCCTGGTGTCATGGCTGGTCTTGGCAAGCTTTGCCAACTGATGAGTCCCTTTAGCAAGGACGAAACTAGCGCAAGGGAGTGGAATGAAATTGTATACAGTCTAATTGTATGAGCAAAAAAAAAAAAAAAAAAAAAAAAAAAAAAAAAAAAAAAAAAAAAAAAAAAAAAAAAAAAAAAAAAAAAAAAAAAAAAAAAAAAAAAAAAAAAAAAAAAAAAAAAAATGGGAGAACACGTTCTAGATGTCTTCCACAATCGGATATCTCACGCCCATAGCTTTTATCATAGCGATTCCAACAACAAAATAAAATAAAATAAAATAAAATAAAATAAAATAAAATAAAATAAAATAAAATAAAATAAAATAAAAATGTAAAGGACCTTAACGAATTGAGATTTTTGACGCACATTCCTTTGGTCAGACAAAAAACTTTACACCTAATTAGCCCTTGTAGCTTAATGGTAAAGCGCTCGCACTCTAAAACCACATGGACGCGAGTGAATCGGGGTTCAAGTCCTCGTAAGGGCATTTTTTTTTTTTTTCATTCGTGATGGTGTTTCAAATATTTTAACGAATTGAGACAATACACCTGATTAGCCCTTATAGCTTAATGGTAAAGTGCTCGCGCTTCAAAAGGCTTTGACCGCGGGTGATTCGAGGTTCAAGTCCTTGTAAGGGCATTATTATTTTTTTTTTTTCTTCTCTGCCTTTTAGAAATTCTTTCCCAGTTTTTTGAAAAAATCGTGAACACGAGGATAAAAGATTGTTTTTTGTTTTTTTCCTTTTTTTATTTATTTTTTATTTTATTTTATTTTTATTTTTTTTGCATTCGTGATGACATTTCAAATATTTTAACGAATTGTGAAATTACACCTACTTAATTAGCTATAAACGTTAAATTTGAATCGAGATTCGTCCTCGTGAGGGCAATTTGTTTTTTTTTTTTTTTTTTCCTC